GGGGGGGGGGGGGGGGGGGGGGGGGGGGGGGGGGGGGCTCCGGGGGAGTTCTCTGCATCCTGAAGCAACAGGAGCGATGCCTTCTCAGGTTACCTTACTTTGATCCAGGCACTGGATCTATTCTCTCTAGTGTCAGCCAGATACGTTGTAATCCTGCAGGAAGTAAGAAATGCATCGTCGTCACTTCCCTGTGGTGATGGGAGCTTGTTGTTTCTCTGCATCAGCTTGATCCCTGTAGCCATTAAGAAGGTGACCATCAGACCTAAGTCTCACCTCTACAGGAAGCATATTCTGGCTGATCCCCCAGTCACCATTCTCCAGGTGTAATATGTACACCCTGCATGAAGCTCCATAGATGGAATCATCCCTAAGCAGTGAGACTTCTGCAGTGCATTTGTAGCCGTAGTGGTGACTGTGCCCCTCCATCTCCTCCCCTCTTTGCTCTCCTGTTAACAACAAGTTTTCCACCATGGGTGTAGCTCATTCAGAAGTTATGTCAATGCCCTGAGGGACTTAGACTGCAGGGATTCCATTAAATCTCTTTTGTTGACGGACAGTCTTTGAACCTTGTTTTGCCGTTTTCATTATGGCTCTCTAGTCGGCTAAAATCCCTGCATATGCAGTTAAAATGACAGCACTTGTCAAGGGCAGATATAGGAATCGGGAGCAGATCCCTGGTCTTCCATAGAGCTTTGTATGATGGCAGCTTCACTGACTCAGCTGTTGTCTGACCCAGATGGACATGATTTGGTGAAGTCGTGCCAAGGCAGTTCTTCACCATGGCGTCCCAGCGCTTGACGGGCGCCGTCCGAAGCCTCCCGTTTTTTTGTGCAGTCTCTCCCCCCTCATCTGGTCTCTCTCTCCTGCTATCTGGAGTAGGCCGGAAAGCCGTCCACCATGGGCTTTCCCTGGGTGCAGCTGCCTCCAGAGTATCGCGGCTCAGGCTTGAGAAACAAAGTATGTGTTGTCCTGTAGCAGTGCATGCTGGGTACTTGCCTAGGGGCCATGATGCTGGTATGCTTGATTCCCACAGCTTGCACCATTTTGCAGTTTCTGCATGGAGATGTTAATAATATTAACAATGTTTTTGTAGTTACAGTATCATCTGTGTCTTGTGTAACTAGACATCTTAATACAATTCAATGTTGTACTTGTAAGAAGCACTAAAGCAGGAAACACGTCATGAAAACATTACTTGGTGCACAATTAGTCCTGTAGCTTTTTAGTTTTCACCATGTTGAATATCATCTTTCCACTTACTCTAACCTCGGGCTTCAAGTCCTGTTCAGAAATGATAATAATTTTATATCTGAAGTCCCCCCATCTGCATCTAGCTTCCACACAGTTGTTCCAGAACCGTTACAGTGGTAACTTGATCCCCACTATCGAATAGCATGACCTCCTACATTTACGCACTGGTACGCCAGGCCCTCTGGGTGAGCTGTGTGCTAGTTTCAAACTGAGCTGTTCACAGCCCATCGTGCAGATCCTGTATGAGATGTGATGACGATTTGTCATTTTATATCACTGTGCAAGACAGAAGACAGTGAAAATTAAAGCCACATGTTATTCATATGAGGATGTCTGGTGTTGCTAGTGTGCTTGCATGGGCTGTATTGTGTTTCACAGCATGAAAGAGGCTTCCAATAACAACTGGGTATGTATGGTTTTCAACAGTCCCAAGGCAAGTGATAAAATCTAGCCAAACATTATTTTTAGAGCATTAATAGTCTGGAAAACATTTTTGGTGTTTTGGCTGTTTACATTGTCCCACACTGCCCCCCTTGATTTTGCCCCCACAGCATCCCCACTGGATCACTAGATTGACCCCAGCAGTTGGGTGCGATCGTTTAGGTGGACTTGACATAGACTCTTTGAGAACCAAAGCCATTGGCCTCCCCTACCCCCACAGGCATCCAGTGGGAACTACTACTTCATCCCCTATGTGATGACGACCAACCACGAGTACATGTGCTGTGAGAATGATGCCCAGCGCCGAGCCTCGGAGTACATGCAGCCTAGCTGGGACAGCCTGTTGGGGCCACTGTGCCTCCCTCTGGTGGACCGCTTTACCAGCTTGCTCAAGGACATCCACGTCACCTCCTGGTAGGTCGGAGCCTCACGTTGGGTCAGCTGGCACACGTGGGAGTTATGTAGTTTGCGTGTTTAACTACTTCCTGCCCACGTGGAGAGATGCACACATCATCTGCTTCTGAAGAAATTAACTTTCCATTAGTCCACTCAACTCAAAGACCAACAAGCGCTTAATTTATTGGCAGGGCTGCTTTTTATTTCCTGATGGTCTGTTTACCCATTGTTGGCATCCTGCCTGGTGTTGGTTCCCTGCTTCGGGGAGCAGCGTCTTGAAAGAGGAGACATGAGCCACAGCTTGATGGGAGCCTGGCTGTTACAGCTCCCCAGGATGCCCATACTGCCTTCTTTAGCCTAAGTAATAAATGGAGCACTCCTTTCCCTCTCCTGTTCCCTACCATTGCTTCCCGCCCAGTGCATCATTCAAGGACACACTACTGAATGATATCCGGAAAGCCCGGGATAAGTACCAGGGCGAAGAGCTGGCCAAGGAGCTGGCCCGGATCAAGCTCCGCATCGACAACACGGAGGTGCTGACCCAGGACATCGTCATGAACCTGCTCTTCTCCTACAGAGATATCCAGGTATGACCTGAGGATTCTGGCTTTTACTTGCACCCTCCTCTGTGCTGTGACCTCTGACCCTCCTCCCCATCAGGATTATGATGCCATGGTGAAGCTGGTGCAGACCCTGGAGATGCTGCCCACGTGTGACCTTGCAAACCAGCCCATGATTCAGTTTCACTATGCCTTTGCACTCAACCGGTATGGATAACACACATCATCATGCATGCTCATACACCTTCAGATATCTCATTATGTGAATGCTCACTCTCGGGTTTACTTGGTCTGAGGTCTGGACACTTGTAATGTAAGATGGTGGTTCCCCATTCTGGGATGGGGCCTTTTGTGTGCAGGAGGAACAGCCCGGGGGATCGGGAGCAGGCTTTGCGTGTGATGCTGCAGGTGCTGCAGTCATGTGATCACCCCGCCCCCGACATGTTTTGCCTGTGCGGTCGGATCTACAAGGACATCTTCCTGGACTCTGATTGCAAGGACACCAAGAACCGAGACAATGCCATCCAGTGGTATGAGGTGTTCCCACACCCATCCTGACTCACTAGAGCTCTCTGCTGTCCACGGCATGGCCCATGACCCTCTGTGTCCTGTTATCAACACCCCCAGGTATCGTAAGGGCTTCGAGCTGCAGCCCACGCTCTACTCTGGGATCAATCTGGCCGTGCTGCTCATTGTGGCTGGCCAGCAGTTTGAAAACTCCATCGAGCTGCGGAAAATCGGTGAGGAGTCGTGTTGGGGACACCTCCACTTCCTGCCACCTCTGAGGATCTGACTCGTGTGTCTTACCTTGGCACCCCTGGCTGCCTCCCCAGGTGTGAGGCTGAACAGCCTGCTGGGTCGAAAGGGCAGCCTGGAGAAGATGAACAACTACTGGGACGTAGGCCAGTTCTTCACTGTCAGCATGTTAGCCAACGACATTTCCAAGGCAGTGCAGGCAGCTGAGAAGCTCTTCAAGCTCAAGCCCCCCATCTGGTACCGGTTCATACTCACGTGCTCTGCCTTGCACTGCTTTTGCACTCCCTGGGACCAGTGTGGTATTTGTCTGTCCTTTAAATTTAAATGACTTTATTCAAGTAATTATTGGGATACCAAAGCAGATGGTGTTGGAGGTGTGAATCAAGTCCTAACTAAATCATGCTCTGCAACACGGGGTCCAGGTGTGAACGTCTATTCAAAAACAACTTGGATGTAGTTCAGGATTTAATCAAAGCCATTCAGGTTGGGTACGGTGCCTCAGGACACGCCATCAGGACCTTTTCCAGGGGCTGAGACCTTCCATATTTTGTGCTTTACCACCTTCTGCTTACAGCCTCACTGCGTGTTTTCCAGGTACCTTCGTTCCGTGGTGCAGAACCTGCAGCTGATCCAGCGTTTTAAGAAACAGAACCTGGAGCACTCACCCCAGAGAGAGAGGCTTAACTTCTGGATGGACATCATTGTGGAGGCAACCCAGGGAGCCACCAACGGGCTGCGATTCCCGGTACTGACAGTCTCTAAGCTCTGATATCGATACTGTGCAGCTGTCCCAGGCGTGGGTATCATACTGATAATCACATGGTATCAACAGTGCATGTTGTATTTGACGATACCATCACACCACAGCTGATTACACCATTCAGCTGGTGATACAGCATATTTCAGCATCTGCACCCAGCCCAAGCAAGGGTTCAGCCTCACCACCTCCTCTCTCTCCCCTCCGCCAGGTGCTGATCCTGGAGCCGACCAAGGTGTACCAGCCTTCGTATGTGTCCATCAACAGCGAGGCGGAGGAGAAGAACGTATCAATCTGGCACGTGTCTCCGGCAGAGACGGTCAGGCCCCCCTGCCCGCCATCCTCTCTCTGCCCCTCATTCTAAGCCTCACATTCACTGTGAATCAGTACCAATCACCCTCCTCACACTGCAATCTGATAAAACTGATATCCAGTGCTGGCTTGCCAAACTGATATATGAAGAGCTGTTTCCTTCGCACTAGAATACAGTAGCAATGATAATAATAATAATAACAGATCACTGTAATTCTCGCATCTTCTCTCTCCCTTTCCTCTCCTCTTCCTCACTTCTTCCCTTGCTTTTTCTCTCTGAACTCATCCTGGGACCCAGAAGGGCATTCACGAGTGGAACTTTACGGGCACGTCCATCAAAGGCATCAGGTAGATGCTTAGTCTCTATCACTGATCTGATGGGAGCTTGCAGTCAAAGAGGCCCACAGGTCAAGCATGGCAGGAGAGTCAGACTCCAGCTGACTTCAGCTTGCTTAGACTATACTGATTCCTGTTAACCCCACGCCCTGTGTACTCCAGGGGGAGGGGCTTTAGGAGCCCTGATGTGTACAATAAGCATATTAGCCGATAGAGAGCATTAATGCAAGCGCATGATCTCTAAATTGCACTGATGCTCTTTTTGTGATATTTAATCATATTAATTGAAATGTAAACACTACATTTCAGGAAAAATTATGCATTAAATCACGTAGGTCTGTATCTGTATGTGTTTATGGCTTACAGTTTGTGGGTTGGGGTTTTGCTCAGGGTTTGTGGGTTTTCTCTTACATGCTAGTTGAGAGTTTGATGTTGCTCAGATGCTGTTTCTGGGTTAGAATCCTGTTAATTTAGCTGGTAAAAACTGGTTCAATAAGCAGTTTAGGTTTGAATGTTGAGATCCTTGAAAGACCCCTTGGGAAAAACAATGTTTTTGTTGCTGTCGTCTGAAATAATCAGATGGTGATTTAGCACTGCCATAAAATGTCCTCCCTTAAGAGTGGGAGGCGTGGGAAGATGGATCGTGGGGCAGAGCTAGTTTGTTGGGGCCTCTCAGGTTACTGTGGGTCGGGACAGATGCTTTATGAACTTTGACTGGTTTTCCTGGTTACCATGGGCTGGCACACGCAGCCCTATTTAGTTCTGTTAGACTGAGACAGTTGCCTATCAGTCCATTTGAGTTTAATAAAGACCTTTAATTCATAGAGGCTCCATACTTTTAGTGCCTCCTTGTTGCTCGCACACACCATCGCCCTTGGCTGATGTGCATGAGTACACGATGGCTTCTGTTTGGAGATACACTCAGGACCAGATACTAGCCACAGTGGTAGCCACCTTAGCTATTGAGGTTAGATAGAGACCATGAGTGGGCCTTTATCTACCAGTTCTGTCTTTGATGGGCCCTCCCTATGCTTCCCCTCTTCAGTATCTCCAAGTTTGATGAGCGCTGCTGCTTTCTGTATGTCCACGACAACTCAGATGATTTCCAGATCTACTTCTCCACTGAGGACCAGTGTGGCAGGTGACCCAGATCCTCATTGATGGGTTCAGCTGAGAGTGGGGTGGGGAACAGATGGATTTTCTTCCAGTTAAAGGAGACATGACATTGTTTCCTTAAAGTGTTGCCCTATACTGAACACCTGGCCAGTCCCTTTAACTGTGTGTTCAGCAACCTTGTTATCGTCTTTGACTCCTTGTGTTGAATCTGCACCATCTGTTGAGTTGGCCTTTAGGGTTTGAGTCTGGGCTGCATGGTTGTCTGGTTTTACATTGCTTTGGGTTTGGACAGGATGTTCAGTTAGTGTTTTAACTACAGTAGCTAATCAGTTAAATTGCTATTGTTGACTAGCTTTAAATCACACTGACTGATCTATGTCTAGGTTCTGTTCCATGGTGAAGGAGTTGATTTCAGATGGGTCGGGCAATGCTGTGGAGCTTGAAGGAGAGGGTGAAGGAGACACACTAGAGGTAAGTGTCACATTTGTCAGTCTTGCTCATTGTGTGTCTTTGCACGCACATTATGGGTGTGTTAACTACTGCCTTGGTACCACAGTACGAGTATGACTACAACGAAAACGGGGACCGGGTGGTGCTTGGGCGGGGCACCTACGGAGTGGTGTATGCTGGGAGGGACCTGAGCAACCAGGTGCGCATTGCCATCAAAGAGATCCCAGAGAGGGACAGCAGGTAAGGCTATGCCTGGGACTTGGCGCCCTCTGCAGTTTTGTGTCAGGAACGGCACTCCAGGGAGCTAAATTGAAATGGACAGTCTTGAATTATTCAAAAGGGTTTTATCACAGAAAATGAAGAGCAGGGCTAGAGGCCATCAGGATGTTCTCACCTTGCCAGGTATTCCCAGCCGCTCCATGAAGAGATTGCCCTGCACAAGTACCTGAAGCATCGCAACATTGTGCAGTACCTGGGCTCTGTGTCTGAGGATGGTTACATCAAGATATTCATGGAGCAGGTTCCTGGAGGTGTGAATATTCATGAGGCTCTCTGCCGTGGGTCTTGGGACTGCAGTATAATTATTGCTTTTGCAAGATAAGATACCAATAGATGCATATCTGTGAAGCTTATAGCTTGTTTTGATAACAGGATTGGAGAGTAGGTTAACCATTTGGCTGTGTTAACCTTTCATCCCGACTCTGTTTAGGGAGCCTGTCAGCCCTTCTGCGCTCTAAGTGGGGCCCCCTAAAGGAGGCCACCATCGTCTTCTACACACGGCAGATTCTGGAGGGGTTGCGGTACCTGCATGAGAACCAGATTGTCCACCGTGACATAAAGGTACCATCTAATGGTGTCTTCATGCGACCTAACCCTCACTGACCTAAGCTTAAGCCTTGGACAGTCTCCTCTGCTTGAGTGTATCTACCTAATTGATTTGATTACGGGCAAGAGGGATTATGAGCCATCAAACGGAGCCTGGGTCTGCTTCTACTACGTGTTTCTTCCTCTATAGGGTGACAATGTCCTGGTCAACACCTACAGCGGGGTCCTCAAAATCTCTGACTTTGGTACATCCAAGAGGTTAGCTGGAGTGAACCCCTGTACAGAGACCTTCACTGGTAGGTTCTGGTGGTCTTCTCCATCTTCCTTTCTGCAGCCTCCAGCCACCGTGCTAACTCTGTCTGCATTGTGCTGTACTCGCTTATCCTCTCTGACCATCATTAGGTAGGTATAGCCATGTCAGCTCATGTGTTGCTGCAAATGACAAATGAGTGTGAGATAATGTCTAATAGTTCTTATTGTTGAGCAGCGGTTCTGTAAATGTGATCTTCATGCTACTAAAAAGTCTACATGACAGTAGGACACATGCTTCCAGGTTACTGATACTATGGCTTGGTAGCCTCTTTGTTTTTAACCGTCTACTCAAATAAAACCAGCCTGATTAGTTGGCAGAAATTCCAAAGAGGACTAATTTGCTCCCACATAAACACTAAGGCTCTCTGATATCCATCACTGTTTCTAGCTGATGGGCCCCACACTTCCCTATTCCTCTAATCCCATGAAGCGAGAGCCCTGTTGCAGCAGTAACATTTCCCACTTTGGGTTTAGGGAGCACTCATTTTGTCCATCCATGCCCATCCTCGCTGTGTGCAGGTGTGATCTCGCTGCCGGCTGAGCATCTATAGAAAGATCAGCTGACATTGGGCCTTCCTTCGAGCCTCTTGTTGACCCATGCCGGGCCTCTGGCGTAGGGTTAAGTGGCCCTCAGCGGTTCACATCATTAGGATTCTGCTAAATTACATCTGCCTGTGCAGCGAGTAGTAACACGGGCTATTAGAGCAGCATCCGGGAGTGTGTTTGCATTTAATGAATGTGTGTTGAAGCGTGAAGACAGGTGCCTGGCACCCCACGGCCCACCCTGGCTAGCTTGCACTCCCACAAGTGCCTCTGCCACGTGGAGGGCTGTGTGAGCAGACTATTTACTCTGAGAATTTGTGCTCACTGCTCCAACAGAGCACCAGCAAAAGTTCCCCACCTTGGCCCGTGGCCTCTGGGATAGGCTCTGTACCCCCCGCTACCCTGAATAGGACAAGCGGTTTCAGAAAATGGATGGATGGACAACTCCTGTCGTATTGATGGCTATTGTACTGAAGTAAGTTTATGTTAGTAGCTTGTGTTTCTCTATACTGCCCCCCTCAGGCACCCTTCAATACATGGCCCCTGAGATCATCGACAAGGGCCCCCGGGGTTATGGAGCCCCTGCCGACATCTGGTCTCTGGGCTGCACCATCATAGAGATGGCCACTGGGAAGCCCCCCTTCCATGAGCTGGGTGAGCCGCAAGCGGCCATGTTCAAGGTGAGTAGGGTGGGGTGGCATCAACAGCACTATGGGGGGGACAGTGTCCACACATGCGATCCCCTCAGCCTGTCATCTAGTTCCTCTTTTTCAGTTGTAACTTTAATATTTAGTCTTCTGTTCTGCTTCGATTTGTATATAAACTTTGTAGTAGCATCCTATGGACATTAATCCGTCACATTACATTCTGTTCCCACGTTTTATCAGCCGCTTGGTCTGTCCCACTCACAGCTCTGTCCCGCTTCAGGTGGGGATGTTTAAGATCCACCCTGAGATCCCAGAGGCCCTGTCCGCTGAGGCCAAGTCCTTCATTCTGCGATGCTTCGAGCCAGACCCCAACAAACGGGCAACAGCGGGTGACCTCCTCAAAGACGTGTTTGTGCGGCAAAACGTCAAGGGCAAGAAGAGCAAGATCGCCTTCAAGCCATCAGGTAGCCGTAACGTGCCTCTCCTGGAGGGGACCATCACAACGATGCTGCACGCTACAGCTAATATCCGTCTTGTGACTCATGAGAACGTGGCCTTTTGGGTTGTGGGTGACCCTAAGCTCCCCAACAGTCATCATGAACATCGGCATGCGGCGTACTCAGGACACTGAAAGCCTCCTTCTGACCACTCAAGATATCTTGATATACCTGTGTGTCGAATGCTGTTTGCTGGGTGTGTGTGTGATTGTCGAGGGTGTTTGAGTGCCTTTCATGATGATGATAAAGGAAACGATGACAAGCTGGTCAGTACAGGGGGATGCTGCGATGGCCGCTTTGGTGGCATCTGGGATTAACCCCTTGTCTCCCTCTCTCCTCTCCGGGGCTCGGACATACTCCCCTTTTGCTGGTGCTCTGTTGGGGCAGTGTGGCAAGGTTTGTGCCAATCAATTAATCATCTGTAGCTCTTTAGCCTTCTTACTTTGGAAATGCTGCTGTCTCCTTCTCTGTGGTGGTTTTCTTGCTGAGCTGCATCCCTGTCCCTTGGAGACAATGAGACCATGTTTCTCTTTCAGATTTCCTGTTACTTTTCTTTACATCCTGATCTTTGTGCTTCTGATGTCTGTGGGCCTTAAAGGAAGTGGTAATCTCTCACTTCCTTCACTTTTTGGGGGGAAGAGAAGGTGGTCCATCTGCAGATTGAGGGATGATGAGGTGCCCTGCATGTGGCCGGCCTAAACTTAAAGGTGCCCGCTTGTGCGCCTGCAGATTACCTCCGGAGCGTCTCATTCCCGGCGCAGTTACAGACAGAGGCCACCGGGAGCAGCAGCAGTGAGCACGGCTCCATCTCCCCTGAATGCGACTCAAAACAGGACGTCTTCTTCGAGAAGAAGAAGCGCTCAGCCTCAGAAAACCTCATCAAGCCACCAAGCTCTAACTATCTCAGGTGAGGAAGGCTGTTCCCGGTGGGCAGATGGGCCAGTCTTCCTCAGGTTACCTCTGTAATGTGACCCCCAAAGAGAACTTGCTGACCCCAGCCAAGGTGGCGCACCCTCGTTGGCGGTATTTATTGTGCGCTGGTATTTATGCAGCTGTGTCCTCAGTTGTGCCGGAGAATTCCCCGGTAACTGTGTTTGCACAGCCGTGTGTGTTATTGGCAGGGCAGATGGGATGGCATGGCACTCCGGCTTTGTGATCCGGATCTAATCCGATAATGTGCCCAGCGCTTACAGTTACGGGATCTTTACGATACTGCACGCCTGCCCCCGTGATCCTCCCAAGCTGGGAGACCCTTGCATGTGTCAACACTGTGCTGCCCCAAACGGCGCGTATGTCACAGGCGTACACAAAGGACGCTTCTGCCCCTTTAAATGCACGTGATGCTGCCTTTAAGGCTTTTTACGGCATTGCTTCCTGTCACGTTCTGTGCTGTTCTGGGAAGGACGCCGCACTTTGAGCAGAGTTCCATACCTGCAGGAAGCGCAACCTTTTGTTCCTCTCATCCCAAAAGTTTCCACTCGGGCCGCTGTGTGGTGGCCATGTGACACTTTGCCGCCCCCCTTCCTTGCAGTGTCCCCGACGAGGTCTCTGTCACCGAGGACCGCAGTGCACCCCCATCCCCCGAGGACCGGGACTCTGGGCTCTTCCTGCTGAAAAAGGATAGTGAGAGGCGGGCCATACTCTACAAGGTCCTCAATGAAGACCAGGAGAAGGTCATCTCCAACCTGATGGAGAACCACATACAGGTAAGACACCCTACCCACCAGGTGCGCTGTATGTAAGGTTTCTGTTTGACTCTGATTGGTTGACTGACTTCTTGCCGTGTACCATGCACCATGCACAGGGCAGCGAGGAGCTCAAGCTCTCTGTGGATCACATCAAGCAGATCATCTGCATCCTGCGTGACTTCATCCGCTCCCCCGAGCGACGCGTCATGGCAACCACAATCTCCAAGCTCAAGCTGGACCTGGACTTTGACAGCACCTCCATTAACCAAATCCAGCTGGTTCTTTTTGGGTTCCAGGACTCTGTGAGTAGATGCACTGGGGGGGTCAGTGGGCACAAGGCACAAGATTAAATTGCAGGATATTTTTGGCTGCCACTAATTACCCATCCATTCATCTTCCATTACCACGGTCCACCATGCCTATCACATAAAACAGTCACACACAGTTCAGGAACCCAAAGGTAAAGGGAAACAAAGCACCCAGTGGGAGATCATGGCAGCGACATATGGACAAAGCCAGGCAGCTACGTACGGGCAGGGCTGGGTAGGGACTCGAACCTACAGACAGTGGGAGATCATGGCAGCGACATATGGACAAAGCCAGGCAGCTACGTATGGGCAGGGCTGGGTAGGGACTCGAACCTACAGACAGTGGGAGAGCATGGCAGCTACATATGGACATGGCTGGGGCAGGACTTGAACCTAAACCCTGTGGAGGAATTCCAGTTGAAAATGATGTGTGGAGATGTCAGTGGGCAGCACAGGGGCAGGAGGTCGCGGGAGACTGCATAGGCTTTGTAAAGGAAATTCCTATGGGGTACAGGGTCAAGGATGAGGAACAGAAACTCTGCTATCCTCAGGTAAACAAGGTCCTGAGGAACCATCACATCAAGCCCCACTGGATGTTCGCCATGGACAACATCATCCGTCGCGCCGTGCAGGCAGCCGTCACCATCCTCATCCCAGGTGAGGTTTGTAGTGCCATGAATGTCTGCCTGGGTCAGCTGATGAGCAGAATTGGCTGTGTGTGACAGAGGGGAGGCGTGCCGGGTGTTTGTGAGGGCAGCCAGGAGCAGCGGCAGCACAACAGCCCGAGGCCCTGGGCGGTGCTGCCCCAAACAAATGGAACAGGGCTCCCCCTGCTGGCCACGGCGGCAAGAAAACAACCTATCATCATGACAACGCAGTTTCATTCGCATTTCATTTTCATTTCACTTGTTTCCTACGCTTCCAGGCCAGGCTGCATTTCTGCTTACATCATGCAGAAAATGCGGCACCGCTATCAACTGTCTGTTATTGAGATTAAGGACAGAATATGATCTTTAAAAAAACTGAAATTATGGCAGCTCAGTAAGGGCTGAGATTAAATCGGACAGGGACACTTGCATGCGGCTGTGATGTGACCCACCCCATGTAAACACTCTTCCTGGCTTAGAGCTGCAGACGCACTTCGGTCCAGCATCAGAGAGTGAGGGAGCAGACAAGGATGCAGACGAGGTGGATGTGGAGGAGGATGCCGATTTCGGGACGGCAGAGCCGGCAGCGCCGGAGGATCCGGGTCTCACATCGGGCGTTAGCACCCTGAGCTCTGTGCTGTCTCACGAGTCCCAGCGGCAGAACCAGCAACATCCACTGGGGACGCAGCTTGGCCGGATGAAGCAGGAGACCAACCGGTGCGGGGGGGTCCTGGGCGCCGAGTTTGGACATGTCAGAAATCAGTCACATAATCCTGTCTTTGGCAGTCTTGTGTTCAGAGTCTAAATACACTCTGCAGATAAAGTGATGAAATCTATGTCTATGGTGTGAGTGGGATTGTGAGATGACTTGGTCCCATCTTGCAGGCTGCTGGAGGACCTGGTACAGAAGGAGAAGGAGTACCAGCAGGTGCTGAGGCAGAGTCTCCAGCAGAGGGCGCACGACCTGGAGCTGATGCGAGTCAAGAGCCGGCCTATCGGTAAACACACATACAGGCAGAGCAAGAGGCTGAAACATGACAGGACACACATGCAGCCAAATACTCCCACAGCGTCCAAACTGACACCAATACCGTAACCAACACTGTAACCAAACCCTCCAGCACATGAGCCTCTCCTCCCCACCACAGACATCCACCCGCCCTCCATATTTCACATCCCAGCTGATGTGGAGCCTGACAAGGAGCTGACTGATTGGCTGAAGGAGCTGGGTGTGGATGCAGACACCGTAGAGAAGGCAAGTATGCTAGAGCGGCCTGCTGGGATGCGGCCTTGTAGGCGGAGCCTGCATGTCCGTTATAGCTGAACAAAACTACAGCTATAAGCGGCCTTGGGGACCAAATTGTTTGTCCGCTATAAGTGAAATTCTGTTATTCTGCATGTTCTTAAAGGCGCACGACTAGGACCAGCGAACCTCGTCCATTATAGATGATATTCTGTTATAAGCGAGTCCACTATAACGGGATTATACTGTAGTGTACAGTATACTGTAATAAACACTGTACTCTTCCTGCTACATGTTTTAACATATTTGACAGGTGAAACTGTAATAAACAAATCACAGAAAAGACTTAGGAGATCTCATATCTAGCATAGCAAAGTTACAAGCTAGCTGGTAAGTGTTACCTTTAATCGTCAATGGAATTACAAATAAATAATATGCTAACATATAGGCATGTATCGCAAATTAGCAGCACTGCAATCCAATGAGCATTAGTGGACTTTGGCACATTACCGAACTGAAACAACACATAGAACATAAATGTGACTTGTACATATTAACTAAGATATGAAACAAGTAAACAAAAAACTAAGAGCTATTGCATTCGAATACATAAGAAAAGTACAA